TCTATGTGAGAATGCACTGTCCCATGCTGCTGTAAAGGAAAATACATTCAGAGGCAAATTAAGTTTGAAATCACAATCCTTTCTTAAAACAAACAGATGGTTATTGAGACCGTGGCTGCTCGCAGATATGTGAGGTGCGGACAGCCCAGAGCTGTGCGTCTGAAATGATGGCCTGCAGCGATCGATGGAGGCGCGGGGGGCTGATTACAGACATGACCCGGGTCAAAGCAATCTGCAGCAAAACGCTCACCCTGCTGTACAGACGCCACACGTGCACACTAAACCAACACCCAGCAGAGAAGAGGCCACGGCGAAGCCTTAAAGACCCTACTTGAGAGGGGCTTATGAAGACACTGTCAGCTTATAATTGGAGCGCTGCGAAAGGTCAGCGCAGACAGAAAATTGTCTTTGTACATAAACAAACATGCATTTCATACAATATTGCACTGTGACTTCCCTTCCCCTTTTGTTTGTTTGGCGCATTGCTTTGAAGGATGGCATAGTTAGTGACATAAGAGGACCAGAAATCTAAACAAGAAATATAAGATATTGTTTTCCAAGGAGACAGAGCTGTACACGGTCAAACAGCTGGCTTTGTTTTTCACAAACACTGCCGCTGCATTTAGCACTCCCTGTCTCGGAAAAGGACTATTTATCACAAGAACAAGATGTGTTTGATTGGAAAAAACACGTTTATTCTTTGCTGTTTGCGTGTGAGCCGACATGCTGCTCTGTTGCTTCTGTTCTCCGGTCTCTTACCTCTCGTCTCTGCTGATCTCAAGCACTGGCAGATGAAGGCAGTGTCATTATGTGAGCAAAGCATGATGACATCTACATGCAACACAGACACCTGTCATCTCACTTCAGACCAGACTCTCTCTCTTCACTGCGCACCCAGAACAACTGCACCGGAGCACAGCTAACATTGGGCTTTCATCTGCTATATGGCTATTAAGTATGACATCTTAGGATCATTATTATTTATTCTTGCACGACTCAAAGACGACTGAAATAAACCACTAGTGCTTCTCGGTACTGGATGTTGTTTGACTTGTCCGTTCTTGTCTATAACATTGTCACTATAATCATTATATTCATAGTATATTGGCAGGAAACAGCAAGGGCGTAGGTTTGCGTGGGGACCATGGGGACATGTCCCCACCAATATTTGGTGAGGACTAAAAAGTCCCCACCAAAATGACATGATGTCCCGTGACCCGGACGGTCCGGGACACATGGCTTCCGTTTGTGCATACGTCGCGCCTCCTCCTCGCCTCCAGAACAACAGCAGCAGCACGTGACCGTTCCGTTCTCTGCAGTGATTGGCTGTCTTCTTCAGCGCCAAACTGAAGCACTTGGCGACTGTTTAATTTTTAAAAGTTAGCCAGCGTGAAGCAAGTGTTTTTTTTCTTTCCCTGAGCGTTGTAGCACGTGAGTAATCAGAGGAAAGTACTGTAGATCTATTACCATTCAAAGTACTTACGTTATTTCTAATCTGTCAGCGCACTGTTTAATGTTCCGAGGAGCTCACACGGCACAGAGACAGAACAGAACTGGCTCCAATAAAGAAACAGGTTGGTTGAAAGGCTGAGAAAATACTTATTGTGCTCTTACTATCCAAAATGTATAAGTGGGTGTGTTGTGTGAATCAGGATAAACTAGGGATGAAAATATTCCACGGATCCACGATTTACAACCTTTATCTGCTGATAATGTAATTTCTGTGAAATGTGTGACAGCGGGCACTTGCTGTTATTTGCTCTAAGCACATTCAAGAGATGCACTCGAATGTGCACGTCCTGGTGCAGCTGCTGCCGCTTTGTAATGACAGCCGCGGCGCTCAGTGAAAGCACAGCTCTAACATGGTACCGAGCTCGGACCATATGCAGACAGAACCATGTTGCAAGTGCGGGTCTCCCTCGTATCTCCCCCGTTTCTCCCCTGTGTCTCTGACATGTCTCTCCCCTAACTCTTCCCAAAGCGCAACCAGCGCTCCCGAAATTAAAGCTCGGATACCTAAATTTTCCATTGCGTTAACGATGCATGCTGGTTGTGCTCAAAACACACCACAACAGGTCATTTAAGTTTTTATTTTGCATACTTGAGAGCCCTGTGAGTCATTACTTGCCTTTTTGGGTAGAGAGTGGAATAAAAAAAAGAAAATATAGAAAAATCCACACTGTTACTTATTGCCAAACTCTTGTTAACTCATTGTATTGAGAAATACTATGTAACTTTTGACATTGGCCAAGTTATATAAATGATTCTGCAGTTCATGTATATGAATGTCTGTTTTTGATTGTCTATACCTTCTTATATAATTTAGAAAAAATGCCACCTCCACAAAAAAGATAAAGAGCTTTTTTAACAGTTGGAAAGTAAGTAAGAGAAAGCACAAGTAATAGCCAATTATGAATTGTGATGATTAATCTTCTGTTAACATACATAGGAAACTCAACCAACAAGAGAGAACAATATAGGGAATGTTGAGGTAGAAGCAACAGGCCCTTCAGTGCATCAGGTGAGGTTGGAATTTTGTAGGTATGCATGGGACTATGAATTGGTTTTAGAGATTGATCGTATATGTCAAACAATGTAGTGAGCTACTCACTGTAGATTCTAATTCAATATTTTCTCCTCTGTTTTTATTTATTATAGGAAATTGAAAGATCAGAGCATGATTTATTTCAAGTATCGAGAGCAGTTCCTGAACTGTTAGAGCCTCAGGTGAGGGCTATTATGTAGATTTGGATTAGGTTTAAGTCAGTATACAGTAGAATGAACACAAAACTCAGAAGCTCTGATCCAATTGATTTTGTTTTAACTATTAGAAAAAATCCTTAACTGCTTCTCATTCAGTCTACAGCTGAGTTTAGTATAGAAGGCAACACACTATTGCAAATATAGTGTGTGATTACACAACACATTCTGGGGGAGAAACTCTGGACCCCGTGTCAATGGGTGTAGACTCAGGTCGTAGTGAATGTCCCCACCAAGATTGGAACCAAACCTACACCATTGGGAAACAGATAGAGAGAGAGAATATCTAGACCATACAGATATCACAGACAATAGACTGCGTTCTTGTGACATAACAACAACTCAAAGAGCCTATAATCAGATTTCTATTTCTAATTTTAAGCTAATTTCTCTTTTGCCAATCCATCACATGGAATGAGTTCAAGACCTTTTAGTCAGTACATATAATCTATTGTACTGTCTAATTATTTTCTCATAAAGCTAGTGCTGACAATATTCAAAAACATATTGAGGTTTGTGAATCTTAATGGTCTGGGAAAAAATTGGGACATTTTCCTTTTCAACATTTCTCTCAAAAATTGCTTCCTGCCTTCCCACGGACATACATAGTGTTCATTGTAGAAGCTGACAGCAGCAGGGATAAAGAGCCTCCTAAAGCAGCGCACAGCTTGTGATGAGATCAGTGAGCCATGACTTTTCTTCATTCAAGCCAAAATGCTGCGTATGAACAGTCAAACACAAACATGAAAGAGCTGTGAAACTGTTAGTGCGATGGCGTCTTAAAAGGCATGAGAAAAAAGAAAATACAAAAATATCTTCCTACATTCCTTCTTCCATGATAGCCTAAAACCCAAAAAAACGCTTCTCTCACCTCCAGGTCAGATCCACTCAATAAGCTGTAATCCTCGTAAGGTGGTCAGGGGGTAGCGGAGGGAACCCCAGAGCACGATAGCAGCTTTAAATCTTAGCTCTTCATTAGCTCCAGTATAGAACAGGTCCTGAGTGCGTTTCATTCCTGAAGTGTGGGATTCTCTGCGGTGTCTGCTGCGTTCGTGTTTGCTATTTGACCAGACAGAGGATCCGCGACGCTGGCAATAGGAACAAACAAGACCCCTGCATTTGCATGACACTGGGCTCATTTGTTGAGACGTTTATGGGCGCCCAGGGGCCTGTCGGAGAGGGTCCAGGGGGCGGAGTTTACACAGACTTCTACTACGGCAGGTTGTACTGTCATGTAAAAAGGCCCCTCGCTTTACTACACTTACTGTATTGTATCCATTTTACAGGAAATACCGACCCGTTTTGCCATGACAACGCAGCTTGACCCCCGCGAGGCCACCCACTCAAACTCATTGAGACTTTAAACTGGCTCCTCATCAACAAATGGACGTCATGAATGTCTAATCACAGCTTGTCTTTGACTCAGTCAGCAGCATCTGCCCCATGTTTCATTAGCCTCACAGTTTACCAACGTTAAATGTTTTTATACATTCTTCTAAATCATCATTGTAGAGTAGTGTTTGGTTAAAGTAATGGTCATTGTATGGTCATTACATTCAGTTCAAATAACTGAAAAAAGTATGAAGAGGCATGTGTTTGACTTGGTTTGGGCTTTTTCAACACAATGGCTTGTAGAGCAGAGGATCTCAACTGGTGGTTCAGGACCCAAAAGTGTACAGTGAGTTGATTTTAATGATATTTTTTTTATTTTCAGTGATTTAGTGGAAATCAAATCATGAATCATGGGAAAAAATACAATACATTTTTTTTATGATTTCTACCTTTGATTTAAGAAAGTAATATTACAAAAGTTTGTAACACAAATGTTTATATTTAAAATAAAAAAATAAACATCTGAACTAACTAAAAACAAATATACTTATTTCTTTTAGTTAGTACTAAAATACTAACATAATACTTACTTATTCTGTTCTTAATTTCCGCTTTCTCATAGAATTCTTTGTATTCTATGTTCTACGTTCCAGTTAAGAACCACAATCACAGCCTTGGTCTTCAAAGCCAGACTCAAGCTTCTGATTGTAAAATACAGCTTATTCAAACCCAAACAATGTGGCCAGCAAAAGTATAAAATAAAAGAGAGGGCCAGTTGAATACATACAAATACCAGACAGGGAAACGCAGAAACTCTGGCATTTACGATCGAAGGAAAAAAATCAAGAATGTGAGCCACCGGAGTGAAAGATATTCTGTGTTCTTAGAAAAACATATCAGGCGGTGTAATGCGAGGAGCAGAATACAGAAGTCGGCTCCAGATTGTACAGCAGACTATCGGAGCGCATAAAGAGCTGCTCTTGTGCCAAAGCCGCAGAGAGCACAGGAAGGGGCCCGCACTGCTAAAGTCATCAGAGCAGAGCGAGGGGCCTCAGCCGCAGACAGACCCCGGAACAGAGCCGCCCGGCCCTTACAGCAGGTCACTACTGATTACACACAGATGCAGTCACGTTCTCCTGCGCCACACAAAGCCCTGGTCGCCCTTTTACATCTACTGTTGTCTCTGCTGTAAGTAAGTAAGTTATCTTTATTTATATAGCATATTTTTACAGACCAAGCTCACCAAAAGCGCTTACTTTCATAAAGATTTGATCACTAATAGTAGATACTAGATCACACAATTCTCGCTTAGTCGCTGAAACAGACAACTCATGGTAGACAACTCGAGTAGTTCAATAAAATCTAAAACATGTAACCCAGGACCCCCTCGTGAACAGTGTTCGTTGCAGAAGCTGACAGCAGATGGGGATAACAGATCTCTTATTTATGAGCGTATTAAGTGAATGCAGCGCATTTATTTATGTTTGATTTAAGCCCCTTGAGTCTTTTCGAGGGAGTTCTGGCCAGGAGCACCTTGGTACAGTTTACAATTTACATACATTTAAAAAACATTATCATTAACATCAAGGTTCATACAAAATTATTTTAAAACATGCAGCTATTGAGTAACATTGAGTGTCAGTCTTAAACACTCTTCAGTATATCATGTTCACTGAACAGTAGTTTTTTACTTTGAACATTGGATTTTGAGAATAAGACACAGACTCAATATTCAATGAGCTGCAAACAATCTTTTTAAACTTAAAAAAAAAACCAATATAACAGTATAAAACCTTGAGGTACCATTCCAACAAGTCCCGACATCAAAACCATGCAAAAAGGGCTCAGAGAATCTCACATTTTGTCTTGTTTATGTAATTTTTTCCAGTTTCAATACCAGTTTAAATATTGATTAATCAGGGTTCAATACTTGACAAGATTTGTGCAAATAGAATCTCATCTTGACAAACAGCAAACATACCAGCGCTGTGTATTGATGCTTGGCACAAGTCATGAATAAATGCTTTAGTTAAAAGAAATCCTGAATAAACTCTCCTCTGCTCAGCCACTGAAAACAACAGAATCTTAAGTGCCCATCGAGTGAGTGGAATCATGAAACGCTGCAGCCATAAAGCAGCCTGTAAACCTCGAGACAAACTCTACCTCTGGCGTTTAAGTGAGGATTTTGGATTTAGGATTGGACAGTTGTGAAACAGTTCATCTGAGTCCATAGCCCCCCAGTTCAGGCCGAGGGATAACACAATGTTTCTCAAAAAAAAAAAATATAAGAGGCCAGTGTTGACGGAGCTCTTACACGCTCGGCTCAAGAATCAGGCACTCTGACGCATTGTGATCAAAGCGTGGATGTGGGGCCAGCAGCAGTGACCCCACAGCGCACCATAGGCATAAAGTGTGTGTGTGTGTGTGTGTGTGTGCCAGGCCTCTCTCTGCGTCCAGCCTTCATCTCTCATTGTTGTGGACAGATAAAGAGATTGCGATAGGAGCTCACAGAATAGAATCACTTCCCCGCACACACCCAGCCGGGATGAAAGGGTCATTGTGGCGAACGGGCTACAAATCCTGGCGGTGGCTCAGCACATCCAGTGGCTCGGACAAAACGCCAGTTGTCTTCGTTCAGAGCAGCCTAAACGCAGGCCCGTCCCAAAGAGTTGGATTACCCTCATTTACAAGTGTATGGCTTTGTGACCGAACCATTAGCAAAACTAGTGAGAGCTCGGTGGTATGAATAATTCACCGCTTGCTTAATGGTTAAAACAGGCGTAAAATCAGCTTGTTCTGATCTGAAAGACATTGCAGAATACACAACGCGAGAGCCGAGGGACTAGCGTAGCAGACAACAGCAGGAATGTTCGGAAAGTTTGAAAACATTTGATATGAATGGTCCTGTGAGAATCGAGATGTTCGTCATTTATCAGTTGAAGTGGAAGAGTACAGAATACAGTGGAGTTTTAAATGTCGTATGAATAAACTGTACAGTCAGGAGTTGGCAGGGGAGCGCCCCCTTGAGGACTGATGTGTAGTGGTGCCTGTACTGCCGCTTACCTTCTTGCAGCACCATAAATATTACATGATTTGCTGGAGTTCCACAGCCTCACACCTCATTTAAAACCGCCTTTGTGACTACCTTCTCTCGCACAAGCTCTCGAAAAACTGTTTTGAAAGCAAAGGTGTGCTCATATCTGCATCTTACCACTGAGTGAAAAAAAAGATCTCATGCTCAATCTTTTAAATAGTATATACATCCTCGTAAAATTAAGCTTGTTGAACTCTTGTTGGGGAGCGTATCAGTACTTCAGTACTTTTAAATTTAAAAAAATTTAAAAAAAAAAAAGATTTAAAAAAAAATAAACAATATTCACGTGAAGACAATTCACATATTACAAGCTTGGGTATCTAATTCTGTTGTGATTTAGGACTACACAAGAATACATTGAATTGAATTGAACTATGCAATAAAACAGATGTAAGTAGTTACTCGCTCGTAAAACAGTTTGACTCCATCAACATTTGTCTCATGTATTTCTTGTCACATCTTTAGATCAGCTTTTTCAGACAGAAAAGTGGGAAAAGAGAGGATCAACAACACCACAATCCGCCAAAAGCATCATAAAACACAAGGGCACTTTAGTACAATGCAAGATTTATAATAATATGGCAGGATGTTGTGGTCTAGTTTGTTCACAATATTTGTCCTTTACAAGACTGTTGGGACCCAGCTTTAATTTGTCACAGGTCACACAGCCCAGTAATATTATACAGTGCTTCTGTACCTCAATATCTAACACTTTTTATGATACGTTTCGGTTCCATATTGGTCCCTTTGAAAATACTGCCCTGTTCAGTTTTCTGTCTGATATTGTTCCGAATGCCATCAATGCAGTTGAACATATAGACATCTGAAATCAAAGACCCTGATTCCTCCGTGTACGAGTTCAGGCTTTGGACCAGAGACAAATCAATTCAAAGCATCTCCAAGGACCAGCCCCACATTCAGCGCTGCACCCCACGTCCGATCCCTGGAACCGGCTTGGCAAGAGCACCTCGGGCCGGTCCCATGTGTCCGCTGAGCCTTGTCTAAGTGAGTGTGGCAGCTCTGTTCTTTGTGCATGAGCGCTCTGGACAAACAGAGACCACCTCCACTGACCTCTCACACTTGTGAGTTGTGTGGGCCTGCTGTCTTATCCCTGCGCTGCAGCGACCATTGCACTAACTCAATCTATCAGAGAGACACTGAGTCTTATGACAGAAAAGTGGCCGTCAAAATGTGACATAAAGTAGTCTTGATTGTGTAGAAATAGCACTGTATGTGCACCAACAATTCGACACAGCCCCAAATTGTGAACATATTGAACATACAATTGAACTACATAATAATTACTTATCTGATTATTGTACACATTATAAAACACAAGCAAATGCCATTAACAGATGTCAGCAGTGTTTCACTGCTCATTGCACACGGAAAGATCTGTAGTACCTCTCCTTTACACAGCAGGGGTGGATCTTTCTGTCACTGAAGCTGCTCTTTGCAGACAGTGTCTTGCAGGGTGTGACTCTCATGATCCCAGATACTTTTCCATAACCCTCCTGTCCCCCACTCGCTGCACTGTGTCTAGACACAGCGCAGGACAGATCAGGACTTCCTGATGGCCTTGTCCTGCTTCTTTCTATTCCTCTCTGTGATGCTTCTGCTCCAAAAGATCATTCCCAAAAAAGCGGCTGATGCCACCACAGAGTCATAAAGGGTCTTCAGGAGTGGTCCATGCAAACTAAAAGACCGGATTCTCCTCAGCAGGTAGAGTCGGCTCTGGCTCTTCTAGAAGAGGGCGTCTGTGTTGTGAGTCCAGTCCTTTGTTGTTCAGATGAACACCCAGTACTTGGAAGTTAATCTCCCATAACTCAAAACATAAAAAACAGCTTCTCATTTTTATATCACACTTTTCCACCAGTAAGGCATTCAAAGCACTTTACATCATTGAACTATTCACTATTACAAACATTCTTGTTCTCCAAGGACAGAACAAGGAGCTGCCAAGTACCCAGGACCCAGACCTGGACCCAAACATTAATGTCACGACTCCTGTTATAAGCATCATGGCGGTTTAAAACATAACAGACCACACACACACACACACACACACACACTGTGCTCACTATGGGAACACACTAAGGCCGTAGCCTTCTGGTTTTATGACCAGCAGTGAGAATGAAGGTCAAATGAACAAAACGTTTCTCAGAGGATTCATATTCACATCCAAAAGCCGTGAGCTGAAAACATCTTCATCCATTCTGCATTCTGCTCAGCTCTTTGCCCCAGACTTCTGCTAAAGACACACTGTTTATCACGGTTTGGGACTTCACACATGCACATCTGCACTTGAAGGCTGACGAAAGGCTCTGAGCCACGAATCAATACAGAGAGCGCGAGGGAGGGCTCTAAAGGAGACGAGTGAGGAAGCAGCAGATGGTTATAATAAAGAATCATTCAGAACTCTATTAACGATTGGCATTTCTATCAAAGTGAGCGCGTTTAAAAGAACGGCACATCTGTCCTATCCAAATATTAATAACTGCAGCTTATTTTAATGGGCGCTGAATGAATGGACTAAAGACACATACAATATACAGCCATAGAGTGAATGAGCAAAGAGGAAACTGCCATTATAAAGGGTTTATAAAGGAGAGAGAGAGGAGCAGGAAGAGGATATGAAGATAAAAGTATGAGAACGTACAGAAGGGGGAATGCTGAACTCAGATCTGAGAGAGGAAAGGTTAGAGAGAAAGTGAGTAGAACAGGCAAAGGGTGGAGCTGATGGAGAAGACCACAGAAAGTCTTTTTTAGTGCCAAAGGTTGTAAAGGTTGTCTTTTGTTGCTCTAAAGCCGAGATGCACAAAGAGGCGAGCTGCCACAGACTCTTAAACATGGCTGACTGGACTCATGTAGCCGCTGTGACCTGCCTCTCCACTGCACTCTTCTCAGCCTCTCTCTGCTCCTCACTCCAGCTTTCGTGTGAACCCAGGCAAACTATTTCGAAGTGCAACAAACACCAGAAGAATCATTGTGTAAAAGTCAAATCACACACCAACACAAGCCTGCTGTCTTGTACCACCTTTTCAGTATCCTCTTCCATCGATCCAAGTGTCCGTTGTACATCTGGGTGATTGACAGCTCCTAATTGGCCTAATCCTGCCCCTGGGGGCTTGTAGGTCTTTGGCTGATCTGGATACAGCTGTCCTATTCTTCAGCCCTGACACTATAACCCAGGGGACAGTGCGGCGGGCCGAGGGGGAGGTAAATGGAGGCCGTGTCAGCAAGAGGAATCACTATCATCTGTTTTCCCTTCAGATTATTTTGTTACCGCACACATGTTTGTGTCTGTTTGGATAAGCAACATTGAAGCAATTGTGTTCTGCTTAACACATTCAGCCGCTTTCATCCACACTGGATGGAGGAGCTTCTATACACATGCAGCATGAGCGCTTAGGGAGGGGAAGATTCTGCTATATTACAATATATTACCCAATGTTTGTATTGGAAACACTGCTTATGTAGGAAAAAGACATCTCCATTGAGTTAAACACGCGCACTGTATCACTACTGTTTGTATTTATTATGTTTGTATGGATGGATGTGTTTCTTCTGTTGGACAACTGAATTTCTCCTTTGGGGATCTATCTATCTATGTGACTGTGAAATGCATGCTACATAAGACACCCAAAAGAATAACGGTTGTTTAGGCATTTCATACTTCATAAAAAGTGCTGTAGCTGAACAGATTGTAAAGTGACATTCTTATTAATATTTTGCCTGTGGCTCATTGTGCAGTAAATCAACATGTAGCACTAAAATGCAGAGCTAGAACCAGAGCTTCAGTTGTCCTTTTATTTCAAGTAATTCCGTGCCACTCTTGCTGCTTTCAATGCCTAACTCTCTCCCGGCTTCATGCGGCTGATTGTTGTGCCCATTTTGAAGAGAGGTCCACTTTAACAAACAGCCCACACCGGCGTCCATGGGGTGGGCAGGCAAACAGACGGGGGAGTACCAGGAGGACCAGTTCAGAGCACCCTCAGATTAGCTGTGCTCTATTGAGGGGGCAAGGGCCAGAACGCCGGGTCTAACGGGACATGCTAAGCCTTTTAGACCCCCTCAGCTGGGACGTGCCCCCCTTCACGCGGCTCATTCATCCACCCACTGACACTGAGCTCTCTCACATTAGAGCCACAGTTGCTTACACTTGGGTCATGATCTAAGGGTCCTGCACGCTCCTGTCCAGTCCATTCAGAACAACCCTGTGAGAGGCACAATATTGTTTGTCTCTTTGTAAATAGCTGCTGTGGAATCTAAATGAGATTCTGATCACGTAATTGGGTTTTTTAATTGGAGGCAATGGTTTGGTAAAAATTCATAGTCCAATAATTTTCAACCCTTAATTTGACTGGAATCATCTCCAATCAGCTATAAAGAGTAAAATAAAATATTTAACCAATAATATTATGTGATTATCTGAGTGATTCTATCTATGCCAAAGTGACATGTAAATTTCTCCAGTGTGAGATCATTAAAGTCTATTGTATCTTATCTTAAAATAATTATACGTTGCAACCAATATTGACTTTTCAACTAATTTCAATCGGCAAATTGTTTTTGACGCTTACGAATGTTTCATAATATCCCATGAATCCAATTCCAAACATACAAACATGTGGTGTTATGAAGTGTTGGCAGATTTGAAATTGATTTGACGTTTGACCTCAGCACTAATAAACCAGCAGCGATACAAAAATGCATGTAGCGATATTGATTTGCTGGTGACATTTTGCTGCGTTGACCAAAACATGTTCCCAAACTGATTTAATTAATAGCCTCGACTATACAGAACAGGCGTGTTGTTAGGTAAATTGTATGAGATTGGGAGATGATGGGGGTGGGCCCAAACCGGGAGAATTGATCGGCGATGTTCTGCTCCATTTAAACGGTGAAGCGTGTGGAGCAGTGAGTAATGAGCTGTGAATGGGCCTCAGTCTGTGCGCCGGAGGAAGACACAAGGGTCATTGTGTGAGACCCACCACTGAAGCCCCGCCCCTTTGTGAAATGAATACCTCTAATACACTCAAAGCTGTACCACGGTATCTTAACATGTCTGCACTAAAGAAAGTTGACACATCTTCTAAATAGTATGGTGGAGTTGGAGCTGGGGTACCCACAAATATGGCTTGAAAGCTATAAGTAAAATGCATCCAACAAGTTCTGTGTTCTCAAAAACTTGCTTCTATATTGTTTTCACATACGTATGTTTTTAGATCCATTTTTTCAGACAAAAGAAAAAGACCCCCTTCACTCCGCTCTCAGCCTAGTGTCAAACGGTGACACACAGGGCTCTTTCTTATGAGAATTTAATAACATAGATAACATGTTTTCTTATGGACAAATGCAGCATGTTGTGTATCTGATTCGTTCATAACATTTGACCTTTACCAGACTCTAACAAACTAAAACAATAACAACATGTATTCTCAGTGAGGTAGTTAGGAACCCAGGCTTCAGGCTTTGAATTAACTTCTGTCTTGGAAAAACATTTATTTTCTTTCAAAGATAGTGTTAAAATGACGGAGAGTGTGAATACTGCGCAAAGATCCTGAAGATGAGGAGGAAAGAGAGAAAAATGTCCCCTGCACCTAAACACTACTACTCAAATCAAAAAGCAGCCTTCTTGAATCCTGCCAAAGCAAAGGTATTATTACAGACTCTATTCTGCATTATTTTCAAACCAGTCAGACCACTTTAAGTTCCCACCTATAATGTCTATGTTTGGTGTTTATTTTAAGCATTTGATTTTCACATGGCATTAAAATTACACTGCGAAATCAAACTCACTGTTGTACTAATTCATGTCAGTGTAAACAAAGTAGAAATGGTTCGATCCAGTCAAAGGCACTGGAAGGAATAGAGCAGAGCAATGCTGTTTTTCGCTCGCTCATTTGAGTAAAAAGACCTAATGTCATCTTGTGCTTCGTCTTCTTTATTATGTTCAAGACAAAGATTTCATACTTGTTTCTTTGATGCGAGAGTTACAGTAGAGATTTTTGTTAGTTTAGTATGGTTATTGTTCACTTGTCTTGTGACGTGTGTTCGTCTTTCCTACTGTTCTGTAACTTGTGATCAGGGACGTGCGGTGAGGTTTGTGATTGGGGAGGCACTGACTTTAAAAGTCAGATTTACAATCATTATTCAAATAAAATAGCATTTAATCACCAATGCAATGACATCCACAAACTTTATATACTGTAAAGATAAGAGAACCAGCTTCTTTTAATAATCTCACAACAAATCTAGCTGCTGACTCTGCTCCGCATCAAACAACATCTTTAAGAAGCGCAGGTGCGAGAGACGCGAGGAGAGAGAGACGCGAGGAGAGAGGAGCAGAAAGAGACAGAGAGGAGCAGAGAGACGGAGACGCGAGGAGCAGAGAGAGACGGAGACGCGAGGAGAGAGAGACGCGAGGAGAGAGGAGCAGAGAGAGACAGAGAGGAGCAGAGAGACGGAGACGCGAGGAGAGAGAGAGAGACGGAGACGCGAGGAGAGAGAGACGCGAGGAGAGAGGAGCAGAGAGAGACAGAGAGGAGCAGAGAGACGGAGACGCGAGGAGAGAGAGACGGAGACGCGAGGAGAGAGAGACGCGAGGAGAGAGAGACGCGAGGAGAGAGAGACGCGAGGAACATAAACAATAATTTAAACAAGTTGCAGAACTCTTGAGCAGTGTTTGAATCAGTGTTTTTCGGAAAAGCACTACTTTGCCGGTATCTGTCAATGTTCAACATAAAACACAGATTAACAAACTCCTCCCCCGCAGCCGGACTAACCTCGTAAGTCCAGTGGTGGTCTCCCAGTCTATATTAATTCTTTCTTTGTTTGAAAGTCCAATTGAGAAAAAAAATCTTCATTCAAATCATCCATTTTCCAGCAAAAGAAATAGCATTTTGGGCTGATTGTTTGTTAGCAACTCTGGTATGAACTTTATGCTCACTATCACCCCTAGCGGTGAGGCACAGATACCGCCTGCCTCACGCCAAGCTTTTTCCTTGTGTGTTCATCTACGATCAAAAGACTTAAACTAAATATAAATTGTACACACATACGTGCAATACACTACTAAACACTAAGAGGAGTTTAAAAAATGTTTTTAAAGCAGGATATTTGAAACAAACGGTGATATATCAACTGCACGAGCTGAGTGCACTCAGACACACACACACACACTGTGAGGGAGCGGTCTGGGGTGAGGCACGCAGGAGCGCTGCCTCACCTCGTCTCTTTGAATAGGAATAACGGGATTTCGGCGATTTTGACTTCAGAAATGATCAAAACTGATGGGAACCGTGCCGAATATACATTAAAAGCATAGGACAGTGGATATAAATTATATATTTAAACTAAAATAATTATTAGTTTCCAATAATGGCAGGTGCGGCTCTGCCTCCCCTGCCTCCCCTGACTGCACGTCCCTGCTTGTGATGCAACTCTGAAATTTCCCCACTGTGGGACAAATAAAGGATCTCTTCATCTTAATCTTAAATATGCCGGTTTTCTTTGGACACAGTTAGACAAATAGTTTCACATACAGTATATTTTTCACCACATATTCCAGATATAATCCCATTGAGAATCTTTGGCATGTGAGAGAAAAGACTTTACCCAGTGGGCACTCTAGTCTAGGTGAAAAAACCCACCCAAAACACTGGATGAAAATAAATAGTTGGAAAAATAAAACTGAGAAAATCAAATCAAAGCTAAACTCGCTCCAGCCACATAGTACAGCATGCAGACTTTTTATCTATATATTTTCTGAACTTTCCAAAGTTCTGGCTGAGTTTCAGGAAACAAAGTGTGATGTGAGCTCTGTGTGCGTGTGTGCGTGTGTGTGTGTGTGTGTCTGTGTGTGTGTGTGAGTGAAATATCTCCTGAGGTAAAACCATATTATGCGGTATTGCTTCAGCACATTAAAGCTGCATCATGAATAATATATTAGATTTGAAAAGAGCACAGTAAAAGAACAGTATTTAGCTATCTCTATCTATTTTTGAATTGCCCATCAATTTACTGCTAAACTCGATTACTACATACAAGTATGATTTGGAGCTTGAGGCGCATCTTCCAAAGTGTGTTCTGTTTCAAAAGTGGTCGCTTCCCTCCCTCCCCCTTTGCTCGCTCTGTAGCAGACCATGCAAAATAATACAGCCGGCAAAATCAAGAATTATACTTTGTAGTAGCAATTATTGCTTTATTCACTTACAAAAATGTGCAATCAAGAACAGGACGCGAGCTTGTTCCAGTGTTGTTTTGGAGCTAAGATGTTTCTCAAATTTGCATTTTTAAGTATTTTTATTTATTTATATCAGGATTTTCACCAACAAATTGCTTTACAAATGTACTCACTCCACACATGGTGGTGGTATAAGCATTGTAGTGCCTTCAACCGATGTAAAAGACGTGTGCAAAATCTGTGTCTGCTCGTATATAAGTGCAAAATAAATGTAATCTTATCTAAGGAGTAGATATATATATATATATATATATATATATACATTTTATATAGGTATTTTATATACATTGGTTTGGGCCTAGTATGTACAGCAACAACTACATTTTCCTGATAACATATATATATATGTCATTTAACTGTGTTTTAGAATATTTGACTCCATTATAATCTTATAAAAAAGAGTGAGACTGTATTGTTCCATTCTCACGTTAAGTTTATGCTCTCCTCCCACGCACCTGGCACCTTCTGGATGTACTGTACAGTTCTCTTCCTCACTTTTTACAAGATATATAATTGGTAATTTATTATTTATGTAGAAGTTGGTAAAGTAGGTGATGGAGTTTCAGTATAGTCTGTTTATGAGGCTCTAACAAAAACAACAGGAGTCAAGTTGACCATTAAAACAAGTTAAATCTCGACATCCACTATAATCCATGTAATTGTTAGCATGTTACCACACTGGCTACAATTAAAGTCGCCAGATCGATTAAAGAGGAAAGCGAGAGGTGGTTGCAGTGAGTCGAGGGCCAGGTGTA